ACATTTGGCTAACGCATGGTTTACTGATGGTTCATCAACCACCAACAGAACCAAAACTAATGGAAGTGGCAGCCTCTAGACCAGGCCATGGAATGGCCAATACTGAGGGAGGACCCACAAAATCAGCACAGCACTATTGGCTACAAAACAAACAACTAGGAAAGCAAAAGGAAAAGCTCTGTCCTTTCCAGTTCGTGGTGCCTGTGACATGGTAAAGCTGTATGGTCATCAAAACAGAAAGCCACTGACTGGCAGATAAATAGTCAGAGGAGGCATGAATAGAAATGGTAAAACCTGGCAAAACTTAGCAAAGACATTAAGTTTTATGTAGCACATACAGGCAAGACTGACAAAATTATGAAATACTGAACAAATTGGCATCGTGATTAATTAAGACTAGAATATTAAGATTTGCCAAAGAACAAATTCAGAATAAATCAGCAAGATGATAAAACCTGAATACTCCTAACACTAAAATATAAGGGAAAATGGAGAACCAAATTAAACTAAGACAACGGTATGAAAATAACTATTATAAGTAATTTATAGCCAAGTGGAGGTTCACACATTTAATTCCAGCACAGGGAGGCAGAGGCAGGCACATAAAAATTTCCGTGATTTAAATATAAAAGTTGCTTACAAAAGGCAGGCTGAAATTCAAAGTGAATGCCCTTTGTGATCTAAAAATAAATACACTTAAATAATTTTATATGTAAAGAAAAATGGGAACATAGGAACACTTACCATATACACTAAGGTGATAATACCTTTTCTGCTGCCAAAAAAAATTTTGTCCTAGAGAAGATATAATCTGCCAAAAAAAGGAAAACCCCAGGGATAGGGTGGGGGCAGGTTTTTTTTTTTCCTCTCTCCCTCTCTTTCCAGGAGATTTTATTCTCCTAAGGAATAAATCCAGGAATAAATCCACCTAAGGAATCCAGAGACCATTGGACAAAACATCTGAAGAAAGAGGACCGATCATCAAGAGAACATGTCCTAAGAAAAAGAGTAAATTGGCCAAGTCCACCTTCAGCTTGTCTCTACTGCCCTTTACAGACAAATGGTCTTTATGTGGTCCCAATTCAGTTAAAAGTTTATGCTGGCTTTGGGGTTGGAATACAGCTTTCTTCCTCTCTAAAACCATGCATGCTTGTTAATGGAAAATCCAAAATCTCTGTCTCATATCAGAAGAGCCACCTGGAATGGGACAGCGGAAAACAGAAAATAAGGGACTGCTCTGCTGCCACTGATCTCATAATCTTTTGGTTTTCATTTGACCCTCTAAAACTTTTCTAAAGGTATAAATATTATGTCAAAATCTACATGATTATTATAAACTTTCTGTCACGATACTAGTAGTCATACATAGTACTAATTCCAGAAATAAGCTTCATCCAGCTTCCTGTATGTGTTTTCCGGTTTGAGGCTGAAGCAGGTAACTAGGAATAAAGTTTGTGTGCCTCAGATGAACTTAGTAGACTGTGTCTTCAAATGCTCCAGAGATCTGCTGATATGGCATTTAAAATGTTTAGGTTTTCTACAATAAACCATGATCATTCCTAACAGTAACCTCTGAGTTCCCCAAGAAGATGATTGGGCCTCTGCAATGATGAATCCACCCAGATTGTGGTAACCCTAACCACTGGGGAAAACTGCCCCAAGTCTTTTCTCTCTCTCTAGATGGCGGACAAACAGTGGACACCATTGAGTTGACTGCTGCATTCTACTTAGCCAAGACTGCCATTAAGCTGACAAGCACCACCCAAATATCAGCCTCAGACTACAGACTGCTTACAACATTCAAATTGCTGAGTTCATAGGAGACTGACATGAACATTTTACAGAACTTGAACTCAAAAATACTTAATCCTAAAACTGTCAAATACAACCAAGCTGGACATTTTAGAAAGCTTAGCAGAAATGGCTTCAGTATTGTAAATAGTTTTATTGTGTTAGAGTTAAAAACTTTTCGTTTTCATTTAGACAAAAAGGGGACAGTGTTGCAGGATATTTGATTACAATCACCCTGCGATTGTGTTGTTTACTGGAAATAACTGTTTCTAGTTGTGATGTGGCTCAGCCCTAGCACACACCTTTAATCCAAGAGCTTTCTGCAAACAGCATAAAAAAAAATCAACCATAGATTAAGAGGTGGAGCAAGCAACCAGTTGACAGGGAGTGAACACAGGAGGAAAAAACAGAGTAAGAGGAAGTCAGGAAGATGGATAGAGAGATGCACAGGAAGTAGGAGGGAGGGACATTCAGTTTGAGAGGTTTTTGAGACCGAGTGGGGAAAGAAATTCTTTTTCCTGCTGGGGCATCATCTGGGTGATTTCTCTGCCTTTCTGAGCTAGCAAGCTTTCACACCAGAATCTGGTTCCCGAGTCTTCATTGGTAAAATCAGATGATGAGATTTTGCTAGAAAACAATACACTTACGTATGGAGCCTGACATTCTTGTGATCAGTCTTGTAAATCCTTTTGCATTGTACAATCTTGAAAAGTCCAACACAATATCAAAAATATTCTTCAGGGAACATATTCAGTTCAAACTCTGGGCAATAGCCTGCCGGCCTCAAAAACCATGGAAACTGTCAACACTCCTCCCTTTGGGGAATGGCTATCTTCTCCCTGATTCTCAATAAGCTCATACACATTATCTCTTTCAGGATCTGAAAAATCCAGTTATAAGTGATCATCTACCAAGAGTTGCCACCTGGACTATTCAGGCTATGTTTAACTCCAGACCAGTGAACTGAGGTATTTCATGAATGCTCCTCAGTGGAGTCCAAGAGACATTGCAACTCAAGGGGAAATTAGAGAGACTATTTCTGCCCTACTCAGATCTCTGTCCCCACTTAACATGAAGCAGTCCCAGAAGACCAATCTTCTGTCTTCAGTTCCCTAACAGACTGGGGAAAGTCTCTCAGGAGAAGTTGATGCAGGCAAACACACAGACAGCTTAGCCGCCTGGGACCCCACCTGGCTGGGGTTGTGGATACACACTTCTAACAGTGTGCCTAGTGACCTTTGCCCCCTGCTGTGCACTGAACTGCACATGGCACCCCACTTCAACAACGGAATAAATTACGCCTCCTGGGCAGCGGTTGGTGACTCCCTTCTCTGTCATCCATTCCCATTCAGGTGTGTTCCTGAACATACCCAGGTCTGAGACACAGGGGTCAGTTCAACCTGAAGTAGTTTTGGGTACATGCACAATAAGGCAAAATGTGTCCTTCAAGTAAACTTTTAGAAAAACAAAATCCCCTGTTTACCACCTGTGTTAGTCACTGTTATGTTGGTGTGAAGAGACACCATGACCAAGGCAACTCTTATTTAAAAAAAAAAAATCACCCTATCTCTGCCCACACTTCTGGCAGAAGCCTCCTACCCCGCCAGAGGCCAGAAGAGCACCTGAACCCCAGAGGAATACCCCTCACCCCCTCCCCGCCACCAGATCAGAGGCCATGCACACCACTAGAGCTCTAGCCCCTAACTTGGGCAGTGACTCCCTGCTGGATCAGAGGTCATCCAAGCCATCGGAAATCCAGCCCCCCAACTCAGGCAGAGATCCTCTATTCAACCACAAACTGCTCCAGCCACAAGACCAGAGAGGAAACAGAAACCAAGGAAGACCAACCACAAAGACAAACACAGAAATCAACACCCAGGCCTATAATCACCTCAAATCCAGATGCCTAAACATCAGTGAAAGAATACAATCAACCACAGCCAGGAAAATACATCACCACGGGAGACCGGCCATCTCCCTACAACCAGCCTTGACTATTTCAACAGAGCTAAGGCACAGGAAGACGATGTTAAACCCAACTTCATGAAGATGACAGAGGTCCTTAAAGAGGAAATGAATGAATTCCTTTAAAAATTAAGGAAAAGACAAACTAAATAAATAAATAAATAAATAAATAAATAAATAAATAAATAAAGGAAATCAATAAACCCCTTTAAAAATGCCAAGAAAGCCAAGAAAAAAACTGACCGGTGGGCTGGAGTGATGGCCTACTGGTTAAGAGCACTGGCTGCTCTTCCAGAGGTCATAAGTTCAATTCCCAGCACCCACATGGTGGCTCACAGCCATCTATAATGAAATCTATTGCTCTGTGCAGGTGTACACGAAAACAGAACATTGTATACATAATAAATAAATATTTAAAATAAATAAATAAAAAACTGACAGGTAAAGGAAACTATTAAAGACCTGAAAATGAAAATGAAGAAAACACAAACTGAGGGAATTCTGGAAATAAAAAATCTAAGTAAGCAAACAGAAACTACAGATTCAGGCATTGCCAACATAGTATAAGACATGAAAGAGAGAATCTCAGGCATTAAAAATATGATAGAAGAAATAGACACATTAGTCAAAGAAAAGGTTAAATCTAAAATTCATGACACAAAACATTCAGGAAATCTGGGACACTATGAAAAAACAAAACCTAGGGATAATAGGATGAGAAGAAGAAGATTCCCAGTTCAAAAGCTCAGAAAATATTTTCCACAAAATCATAGAAAAAAAAAAATCCTAACCTAAAGAAAGACATGCCTTTAAAGGAAAAGAAGCCTATAGAACACCAGGTAGATTGGACCAGAAAAGATAGTTCCCTCAGCACATAATAATTAAAATACTAAACACAGAGAACAAAGAAAAAAATTTAAAAGTAGCGAGGGAAAAGACCAAGTATGAAGCGTAAAGGCGGACCTAGTAGAATTGCACCTGACTTCTCAAAAGCGACGCTAAAATCCAGAAGGGGCTGGACGGATGTGTTGCAGACTCCGAGGCCTCAGATATCAGCCCAGACTGCTACACCCGGCAAAACTCAGAAGCACCACAGGTGGAGAAAACAAGCTATTCCGTGACAAAGTCAAATTTAAACAATAGCTATCCACAAATCCAGCCCTATGGTAGACACTTGAAGAAAACTCCAACCCGAGGAGATTAGCGACACCTGTGAAAACACAGGCACTGAATAAACTAATCTCCCTGCCCCTGGCTACCTTGCAGGTGTGGCTGTGGGGTACGTGTGCATCAGAAGGTGGCAGAGAGGAAAAGCCTGTGTCTACGATCAGTTCAGTGTTCTGACCTGACGAACATCTGAATTGTTAGTAACCTAACATACCCAGGAAAAAGCAAGCCTGAGGCCACCACCAGTCCAGAACCAGGAAGGCCTGAACTGGCTCCGAGGTCAGAAAGCAAGCCAGAGACTAGAGGAACCCAGCCTGGGACAACCCCGGCAAAGGGCCACTTGGGCAAGCTAGGCAAGGAGCAAGCCTGAGACAATTAACAGACCAGTGCCGGGGGGCGCAGACAGGGAGCTAGCCTGTCCTACACAGGCCTGGGGTTCCGAGGAGGCAGACTGTGCTGGAGATGACCCCAGCCTGGTGCCATAATGCTCTAGCGGGGCATGGCACTCCCGAGACAGACCCAGACGCTCAGAGACCCGGGGTGCCACTAAGAGGAGCAAGTAAATGATGGAGAAATGGACGAGAAAAAGAAGCAGAAGAATGTGGGCACAGTGAAGAGAGGCAGAACTGGAGACTAGAGGGTATGAGGGACAGCTGCTGGGAGTAGCTGGTGATGCCGCCTGAGGCCATGGTGGGATCCTGGCCTGTGCTGCCACCAAGGGCCACATCTGGGTCCACGGCCCTGCAGCAGCAGGGGTCTGCTACCACCAAAGCCAGAAGGCTGTCCATTATCTAGGCTGCCACCCAGGGACATGTTGATGCCTGAGGGCTACACAGAACTAGCCCCACCCTTCGCCTAGGAATTGTGGGAGAGCTGGCCCTAGAGGCATGAGAGCAGGAGAGTTGACGCCACTCTTCTGGCACTGAGCTGCCCCACCGCCCCGGTACACACACTGCAGGAGCTGCAGGTGAGCAGGGCTCAGGATGCAAGCCAGGAGAGCTGGCCCTACTGTTCATCTCCCTGGGGCAGCCTGGGCAAGAGAGAGACCCTTTCCTCCCCTTGGCCCCTCACACCTGCAGCAGGCAGAAGACCTGATCCTCTGGGGTCAGGAAAGCAGGAAAGCTGGTCCTGCTCCTCACCAGCTGCAGCACTTAGGAGAGCGGGCTCTGCATCTCTGCTGGGTAGCACAGTAGAGCTGGCCCTGAATGTGACGGTTGCGGGTGAGCTGGCCCAGAGGGTGTGAGTATGGGAGAGCCGCGGGCCCTGCCTCTTGTCTGCTGCCAATGGTACAGGTGAAGAAGAAACTCCCTTCTTCCCTCCCTCATCCCTCACCATCTATGGCAGACTGGAGAGCTGACCCCCACGTCATGAAAGTTGGCCTCACTGGCTGCAGCACTCGGGAGAGCTGGCCCTGCACCTCACCTGGCCAACAAGGCAGAGCTGGCCCTGGTTGGAGGGGTTGCTGGCAAGCCAGTCTCAAGGGTATGAGAGTGGAAGAGCCAGCTGGCCGACCAGCTCAGATATCTCTCAGGCCACATGTCGCGCGCAGCCTTCGCCGATAAGGATGACGCGGCAACCGAGGAG